TATATGAAACACTTCATCAGTGCCTAGCATATGTAGGAGTGTTGGCTGTTCACATGATTACTCAGTCCTTTAGTTATGTCCACAACTCATCTTTGTCCCTGGCTTTCTATATGTAGCACTCGTTGTAGCACATATAGTACATGTGCTATATGTAGCACCTGTACTGTCTCCAAAACATGAAATGATAGGATGGATGAAAGAGAATAGGCATAAAAAGGGAGGTATATATAATTAAGTACTAAAAGATAATGCAGACTATTGGTGCTAGAATTTGCCAGAATCTGTGATCCTTGAGGTGTGGAGATCAGGGAAAGCTACATGGATAAGCTAAAACTTTACTTGGGTCTTAAAGAGTAGCTATAATTTGTCAAATAGAAAAAAATGGGAGTACAGTCTAGGCAAAGGCATGGCTACTGGTATGCTTGGAATTTAGTAGACCAATCTGGCTGCAAAGAATTAGGTGAGGGAGCAATGCAGATATGATTATGTAAAACCTTGACTATCAGCTATAGGAGTTTGAAAGTTACACAGTGAGGTATGGAAAGCCATTGAAAGTTTCCAAGCAAGAGATGAAATGATTAAAACAGGAGGATTATTTTTTTTATTTTGTTTTTTGCTTTATGTTCAAGTGTAGACATGCAAAGGATTATTTTAGAATCCATATGTAATGTGTCCAAAAGGAAAAGCTTAATTCAGGGAGACAAAATAGAAAGGTTTAGCAAAATCTATGAGTAAAATGTGAAGGGGCCAAATCAGGTCAGTTGTAATAGGTGTGGAAATAAAAAGCCTAGGATGTTTCAACAGAGGGCACTGGACCAAAGCTTTGGTGCTACCTGGCATAGGGTTTCCTTCTTCTTATTTGTTGATAATGATAAGCTTTTGCCCATTTTTCTGTTGAATTATTTACCATTTTTGTGTTGATTTGTAGGAATCTGTTTAGACACATAAGTGCTTTTGGATAAAATACTTACATTCATAGTAATTAACTGGCATCATCTGTCCAAGAGATGGGATGGATAGGAAGTTAAGCTTCCAGGAGATGCCTCATTTGTGCCAGTGGCCCCGCATTATTTCTTGATTAATTTTGTAAACTGGGAAGCTGATAGCTCTGGAAATGAGAAAGCAGGTGTTATTTTCTGTAACTGAATATCCCCAACAAGGTTGCCATTTTTTATTCTGTTCATTCTTTTCCTACCTATTCAAGGATATAAACTATGTTTCTTCACAGAAATTTCCAAGGAAACTATATTTCATACATTGATGGAAATGTATGGAAAGCATACATTTGGACCGAGAAACTGTGAGTATATTCTCTCCAAATATGACAAAAAACTAACTGCACTGTAAGAGCCTTCTCGGTCCAGAATTTTGAGGTTGGTACCGCTGAGAAAAGATATTTCTCCTCCACACCCCAAATCAACCTCTGTTGATGGCAATCCTATGGTTATTTAAAAATTAAATTTGGTAGGCTCTCTTTAAAATAAGAGGTAATTTAAATTTATTTTTTATCATACAAATAATACACAGTTATATTCCTTCTTGCCTTTTTTTTTTTTTTTTTCAGAGACAGGGTCTTAATTTGTCCCCCAGGCTGGAGTGCAGTGGCACAATCACATCTCACTGCAGCCTTCACTTCCCAGGCACAAGCGATCCTCCCACCTCAGCCTCCAAAGTAGTTGGGACCACAGGTGCACGCCACCACGCCCACCTAATTCTGTATATTTTGTAGAGACAGGATCTTCCTATGTTGCTTAGGCCGGTCTTGAACTCGTGGACTCAAGTGATCCTCCCACCTTGGCCTCTTAAAGTGCTCATATTGCAGGCATGAGCCACCACCCCCAGCCCATGATTCTATTTTTAATGTATAAAAATGCAATAACAGGTATAACAAAAACCCTCCTTGTGCCCTACTCCCTCATCCCTGAGGTAATGCTACTCTGTATTTAGTGTACATCCTTCCAGACTTTTTCCCATTTGCCTACATACATATTTACAGAAAGCAAAATAGATTTGTTGTGTGGTCTTTAAATTTTTTTCTTTACATAAATGGTAACATCGTGCAACTTGATTCTTTCACTTCATGATATGCCTTAGATTTGTTTCCTTCCCAGTACTCAGAGGGTCACCCCATTCATTTAAACTCCTGCATCATCCATGGTCTGGATGCATCATAGTTTATTTAATAATTCCCCCATTGATGAATGTTTAGTTTAGTTTTATTGTTACATACATTGCTGCAATGAAATCCCTGTACATGCTTCTTTGTGAACATGGGCAAGTATTCCTGTAGCATAGATATCTAGAAATGGAATTGTTGGGGTGAAGACTATGTAGATATAAAATTTTAATTGCCCTTAAAAATGTTGTCCCAACTTACTCTGTTGTCAGCAGAAGATGACAGCATTCATATCCCCACACCTTTCACCACTGGGTATTCTCCAACTTTTTGTTGAAGTTAAGGATGAATAAAAGGAAGTCCATCTAAATTTGAATTTTTCTGATTACTCGTGAATTTAATTAAATATCTTTATATGTTTATAGAGCATTTGTGTTTCTTCTATGAGTTTTCTGGCCTTTGTTCATTTTCCTGTTGAATCGTTTTATCATTTTCTTACTGATTTATAGAAAGAATTGGTTTAGACACATAAATGATTTTGGAAAAAATGCTTACATTCGAAGTAACTGGCATTTTTCACAACAGTTTGTGTGTCACATCATTAGTTCAACGTATATAGACAAGTCATGCATGAGTTCTAAATTAAAAATAAAACACGTGCTAGGCACAGTGACTCACGCCTGTAATCCCAGCACCTTG